TGCCGGTGAAACGGCGCTGCTCTGTGTATTTTTGGCCGTTGGAGCTAATCATACTGCAGTGTGCAAGTCCATCAGTCCAACGGAATCAAGCTGACCTAGAACTGCTGGATTGTAACCGGAAGCAAAGCACGGTGCCATCAAAATAAGAGCAAACACAACATATCAGCGTGGATGGAAGCCTGTAACCATGGAGATGACCAGCTCTAGAAAGAAATGAAACATACTTGGCAACATATTGTTGAACCATTAATGCTATCAAAATGAAACATTGTATCATATGATCATATGCATCATATGTATGATGTGTAAATCATACATAAGTAAATAAATATGCACTTTTTGTGTTTGCATTGCCAAAATAATGATAATGAAATAATGTTTACTTCTGATTGCCATTATGTTTCTTAAGAAAGAGGACTAATTTCAAAAGCTGGGTTAGTGTATGGTGAATCAATCTATGTAACTGGATATTTATCTTTGAGAAACACATGCTACCTTACCCTGAATGACTGTAGTGTAGCACTGAACTCTGTCAGCCAAAGGTGGGATGTAGAAATTATGACTGAACAGTTACAGGACAGGCATAAACAGAGTTTTCCCTTTAAGCCTGGTTGAAAGTGAGATATTTTTCAATCATATCAGTTTGTGATTACTCTCAGAAACAATGTTCATTTTCTTGCAGCATTGAAAAGAAGTAGGCTGGAGTATAAATGCATAATTCTAATAGCGATAAATAATGCATTGATGGTGGGTTTATACTCAATTTACTGGATTGTATTATTATTTTTGATAAATTTGAATTTCCTGGTCCTCCACTAAAGCTTTTATTCTGAGATCTCCCACCGGAATTCCTGTGTTTGACGACTCTCTCTGGCTTGGAAGCTGGTTGTTTGCCCACATACTCTCAACAGGAGCGATACGGGAGCAGCAACTGGTTCGTCCGTCTTACCGGTGCTGCTGCTGCTGCTACAGCACCTTCTACAATCAGGGGAAAACAGACTGGCCGACGCATTTGACGACCAATTTCGGTGGAATAACGCTGCACCAAGCTGCTTTCATACATATCTGCAGGACACAGCTTCTTCGCCAATGGCAAGTCCGGTTGCAGACATAGGACAGTCTCATCAGCATCACCCCGTGAACGAGTCGGCCGCACAGTCCGCGTTTCTGGAGGCGCAGAAATGGATAGAGGTGAGTCACAGAGTGCCAGCAGCGAGCCCAAACGCTGTGTCACCTCTCCACCACTTTCCTTCCCTTTCGCGCAGGTGTTTCGTTGTCATCGCATGGCCCTAGTTACTGGTTTGTACCTGCAGCGTCTGCCCCTTTAAAAGACAGTTTATTTTATTGCTTCGTCACCTGTTGAAAGGTGACAGTAATTTGACTCAGATCCTAAAAACACATCGTCACTGTGTTTCTGCGAAGTCCCCGGGATGGGTTAGAGTTTCCTTGCAGTTGTGCATATTATGTCAGTATGAGCTGTTTAAATTATTATTATGTTAACAATTATCAGTACATATGAGTTAAGATAACTGTCCTCAAAATAAAATGAAAAAGATCATTCATTCCTATCTGCAATAATACAGAATTCTTCCAAGTGACACTGGCTATTTATTTCGTGCGTATTTTCACCAAACCTTCCTAAATGTTGAAGAAGGCTTTCAGTTGTTTTTTGGTGAGGGCCTGTGTACAGTAGCTTTGGTCGCTACGAGGCCTGGTGCGTGTTTGGCTGCAAACAATGAATGCATCATGTGGAATGGATTTTTGCCTCATTGCGAGCCTGGTGAACAATAATCACACAAACGAGGTTTTGTTCTGAGAGAATTTCAATCACGACACTTGCCTGCCCCCATTGCATTTGACTTTGTCATCATGCAGTGAGCTGTCCTCCTGTCAGGCTTCAAAACACTGATGACTGGGTGGTTATAATTTGCATGTTGGTCGAGTGCAGGCGTGACTTTGTGTGTTTCCATAAAAGGATAACAGTTCGGAGTGGCACAGCGCTTTTCCTAAAGTTTGTGATTCAGGGTAGCAGGGGTGTAGACTGGGATTATGGGGCCTCTATACAACATTTTTGTCAGTGCTGATGATATGATTTGTGATTTTCTTTTCTTTTTTTAAACATTTTTTTTCTGAAGGGCATCAATGTTTTTGTTGTTTGTTTTTTGGAATGATCACATCAGTTTCTTAAAGCACCTTTGTGTTGGTCCATCGTTGTCCTTAAGGCCAATAATACCAGATTTAAATTTGAATTAAACAACGAAAAACTACCTGAAACACACAAAACAGCACAAAAGTTAGTGGTAATGTTTCTCATAGTTAATAGGAAGTAATATGAAGTGAAACTTCCTTTTTTACTACTTCTGTGCCCGTTGGTATTTTAATACACTGACTAACCTGCGTATGTCATTGACTTCATTAAAAGTGACAGATCCTCTTTAAGCGTGTCAGGCGCCATTACAGACCTATTTAGTAGTTCCAAAGTCCTCAGAGGCTCATATCACATCTTTAAAAAGCCACTATTGACCTAGAATTTCCAAGGTGGATTAGGGGCAAAAGCTGAAAAGGTGAGAGTGAAGTGACACCACTCCTGCATTTTTCCTCTTTCACCCTTTCCCCATGGGGACTGATTATCAACATACACCTGTGACAGTCCTTAAGTAACCTCAAGGAACAAGAGACCACTCACTAGATCCAGAGTGAAAACAGCAACACAAAACCTCAGTCCAGATTCTAATAACTGCTCATATTCAACTGCTGCCCTATATAATATCCGGCCTGAGGCTAGAGGTTGTAAAAAAGGTTCTCTGTTTGACATGAATTGTCAGATAGAAATTTTTAAAAAAAGCAAAGGGACTGTTAAGACCTTTGGGTTTTGTTTTGTGCACCTTTGCAACCACTCACCTCTCTTTGGAAACTAAGCTTTTGCTTCTTTTTTTTATATATATATATATATATATATAATTTTTGTATTTAAACACTACCAGTCAAAAGGTTGGACAGATCTTTTCATTTAATGGGTTTTCTTTATTTTCATGACTATTTACATTGTAGATTCTCACTGAAGGCATCGGAACTATGAATGAACACATATGGAATTTATGTAGTAAACAAAAAGTGTGAAATAACTCAAAACATGTTTTATATTTTAGATTCTTCAAAATAGCCACCATTTGCTTTGATTACTGCTTTGTACACTCTTAGCATCCTCTCGATGAGCTTCAAGAGGTAGTCACCTGAAATGGTTTTCTAGCAGTCTTGAAGGAGTTACCAGAGATCACAAGTACTTGTCCTGCGATTCCATCTCATCCCAAACCATCTCGCTTAGGTTTAAGTCAGGTGACTGTGGAGGCTAGTCCATCTGGTGTAGTACTTCATCACTTTCCTTGTTGGTCAAATAGCCCTTACACAGCCTGGAGGTTTTTTTGGGGTCACTGTCCTGTTTAAAAAATAAATGATGGGACCAACCATAAAGGCCCGATTCCCACAGTCTCCTCTGAACAGTTGATGTAGACATGTGTCTGCTACTGGAACTCTGTGTGGCATTTATCTGGGCTCTGATCTGAGGTTAACTTGCGGTTTCTGAGGCTGGTGACTCGGATGAATTTGTCTTGGTCTTCTTTTTCTGGGGCTGTCCTCATGTTAGCCAGTTTCGTCATAGCGCTTGATGGTTTTTACGACTGCACTTGGAGACACATTCAAAGTTTTTGGAGTTTTCCAGACTGACTGACCTTCAGTTCTTAAAGTAATGATGGACTGTCATTTCTCTTTACTTAGCTGATTGGTTCTTGCAATAATATAAATTCTAACAGGTGTCAAATAGGGACGTCAGCTGTGTCCCAACCTGACTTCTGCACAACACAACCGATAGTCCCATTAAGAAGGCATGAAATTCCACCAGTAAACCCTGTTTAACAATGCCATTCATTGTTAGACCAGATGATAGAGACTTGTCTTGCAGAGCTCTTAATATCCTCCTTGTACTATTTTAGGTCCAAATATATAGAGAGTGATATACTTTTATTTATTTTCTTATGTTGTAGAGCAGCTGATATTCAAGTGTGGTTTGTTTTAGCCAGTGAGATTATTTTAAAAATCTTTGCACTAGATAAGCATACAGAGGTCCTTGAAACTGCTGTTGAATTCCAGATTTATGCCTGTGTGTCAGCCTGTTCTGCTGGTCCCACCAAAAATGCATTAACAGTAAACTGATTTATAGCTCAGTGTTGGGTTTTACTCTGTTGATTGCTGATGCAAGCACCATAACCATGTCGTGCATTTATTGTATACTTAAATTAATTCTTCCTGCATGTTGTGACATGGGAGGGCTTGCACTGACAATTACTTTGCTAGATAGAAAACAAAACGGTCTTTTGTAGCAAAAGAAAAGGAATCAATTGTGATACGTGTAAATATTTAATGAACACATTTGTGTTAGAAAATGTTTTAAGGGAAGATTAATGAATCCTCATGTTGTCACATGTTTTTTTTTTTTTGAGTTCACGCTCAACAATCTCGAACAGCAGTGGCGACATGCCTGAAAGAACATGAGCAGACTCGGCTGAACAATCATATTTGAAGTGTTTTCCACATAGTTTATATATATATATAGTGTTAACACATTTTTGAGGACGTGAATTTAAAAATTCAATGTACTGAAGTATATTTTTCAATCGCAGTTATGCTCAAAGGCAATGTTTAACTGGGAGGGAGGCACAATTTAGTTTTTTTTTTCAAAGCAGCAAATCTATATTGTTCAATTTTAATGAGTCTTCAACGAATTCCTATCAGATGGCATCCAAGAGTAAAAATCCAACATCTTAAAGAAGCATTCACACCTGCACTTATTGTTTGCTTGAAAGTAGCAGCCTCTCACCATCTGTCAGTAACGCCGTTGCTAGTAATGGTGTTTAAGGTTCTCTGAACTTCAGAAGACTGACGAGCCCTTTGATAAGGGCGAAAGCTTTCAGTTGGTTAAGTTGATTGATTTCTGTCATGTAGCCACAGGCTGTTTGTGTGAATGGAGCCCCGATGATATTATCTGACTGGGTCTTTTTCTCAGAGGTCTCTTTTTAGTTTGATTAATTTGCTTCCTTGTTAACAGTGTTTGAGGAGTACTTTGCTGCTGGCAAATTCAAAACAAAGTGTAACTATGAGTGAATACCAGAGTTGCGTAATTCCATCACTCTCCTCATGTTTGAAGACAAACATTCAGATGATAAATGAACATGAAGAGTTTCCACTGGAACAATTTGAGAAAAAAAAGTTTAAATTATACAGCCAAAAAGTTGCCAAGAAAAGAAAGCTTACTTTGGCAGATGGAGTCTAATAAGATATCCTGTCAGTTTAAAACCAATCCAAGTGCTTTAGATTATCTCACTGATTCTTTTTTGTAGTGGTGGATGGTTTTTTCTTGAGGTGTTAGACACAGTAAAAAAATTCGTAGTAATCTATGTAAACTGGCAATTACCCATCATCACCTGAGAGCTTGTCTTGTACTGTTTAGCACAAAACCTGCATAAACTGGAAAGACAGCTGGGTCCACATATTTGCAAAACTTGGAAGGCCAACATGGACTTTACATTGACATTTGCTGGGTTGGCATCTCATTTGCTTTCAGAACTGCTTTAATTCTTCATGGCATAGGTTCAACACAGTGCTGGAAACATTCCTGAGAGTTTGTGATCATATTGACATGGTAAAATCATGCATTTTGGATGATTTAAAACTGGTTTCCAATCATCACACCACATAATCCTGGACTCTGGATACACCCATCAGAACATATGTACATTCTCAGGTAGGCTGTAGTTTTTAATAAGTGCTCATTGGATAACAGTGGGCGCAAAGTCTGCCAAGAAAATATCTCCCATATATTGATTCAAGGCTGGATGGTTCTATGGTTTCATATTGTTTACACCGAATTCTGAACCTGCCATCCAAATGTCACAGCAGAAATTGAGATTCAACAGACGGGCAACATTTTTCCAATCATTTATTATCCCGTTTTCATGAGTCCTTATGAATTGTGGCCTCAGTTTTGTATCCACAGTTGACAGGAATGGCCCCTGGTGCTTTCGCCCATCTGCTACAGCAGTAGATTTGACATGTTGTTGCTTCACAGATGATCTTCTGCATACCTTAGTTGTAACAAGTGGTTATTTGATTAATGTTGCCTTCCTATTAGCTCAAAC